ATCAACTTCTTAAAATCTATCCTTTTCGCATCCTTTTCTTTTTCCATTTGACTAAACTGAACACAAATCCTACCATGGGCCTCTTCCAGATATGTATTCGTCTCCATGACATCAACCTTCTTAAGATCTATCCTTTTCGCATCCTTTTCTTTTTCCATTTGACTAAACTGAACACAAGTCCTACCATGGGCCTCTTCCAGATATGTATTCGTCTCCATGACATCAACCTTCTTAAGATCTATTCTTTTCGCATCCTTTTCTTTTTCCATTTGATTAAACTGATCAAAGTCCTACCATGTCCTCTTCCAGATTATTATGTATGTATTTTTCTCCATGACATCGACCTTCTTCGGTAAAATCTATAATTTTTGTCTCCTTTATCTATTTTAATTTGTCTAAACAGAACCCAAACCTTACTTGTCCTCTTTCAGATTATTGTGTCGCTTTCATTCTCGTCCGTGACATCAACCAACAAATCAACCAACCTAATTTACTATTTTTGTGTCCTTTTCTCTTTACATTTGACTAAACTGATCAAAACCCCACCATGTCCTATTTCAGATTATTGTGTACATATTCGTCTCCGTGACATCAACCTTCCTTGCTGGCCTTATGACTGCTTGCTACTACCTCACGATTAAGTTCTGGAAATACCAAGACACTCATTATCCTGCACCTTATGGGATTACCTGGGTGATTACTATCCTTGGAAGTATTGAACTACTTGTAAGCCTTTGGGCGTGTGTGTGTTCCTGGAATATCATTTGCACTTCATCATGTTGCAATTTAGATGTTCATTCTCAAACGGTAAGTCAGGATGTCTTACAACATTGCCAACTTCTTACATTTGTATTTTTATATATTTAATATGTTTTTCTCTTAGGAAGGATTTCAAGGAGATTTCGAATCAACATCTCGTAGAACAGGTGCTTCGAGTGCATTTGTTTTCTTTGAATATGACAATGTAGTCCCTGTTGCAGCTAGTGGACCAAATAAAGATCCCTGTGGCACTCCCGAAAACATCCAAACAGAAGTTGATTCTAGAAACGAAGAAATGCCCCCAAGCTACGAAATGGCAATGCAAAATATATAATCTTAATTCCATTACAGAAATAAACAGAACTGTAAACATAGAATCTGGTGCTAGTGGACCAAATGAAGATCCCGTTGGCACTCCCTAAAGCATGCAAAGAGAGGTTTTAATACTAAAAACGAAGAACGGCCTCCAAGCTATGAAATAGCAATGCAAAATATATAACTTAATTCCATTACAGAAATAAACAGAACTGTAAACATAGAATCTGGTGCTAGTGGACCAAATGAAGATCCCGTTGGCACTCCCCAAGACATGTAAAGAGAGGTTTTAATACTTAAAACGAAGAACGGCCTCCAAGCTATGAAATAACTTCTCAAAATGCTTATTCTATTACAGAAATCAGTAGAACTGTTAAAATAGAATCTATTGATGTACAGTCGGAGGGACCACCATCACCTTCCTAGGAATTAAGTCCACTATCGAAAATGTTAGTAACACAATCATGGTACTTTTTAGACATTAGCTTTCCGAAGTAAAGACCCCCTCCATATGCTATATAATAAGAAAATAAGTGTAATAATCTCTTTAAGCTTATAATTTGTTTGTTTGTTGTTGTTTTTTTTTTGAATATGAGTGCACCAAATGCAGCTGCGTTGGCACGTTGGCATATATATATACAGCGATATGCAGAAATTCTGATCCAACCAAGTATATAGTACATAACTATATCGGGTGCATTATGGGTAATAGACCCGCGGAATTCAAAGCTAAGTACCAAAGCGTTGGCTGGCCTACCGAGTGTTGTTTATGAACAGCGCTAAAGTCAAGAAGCGGGAACAATGTGGCAACAAGAGAATGTCTTATATTTTTGTGATCAGTAGTGATCAAGTAAGTCCCGTCGGTGGTTATATCAGGCAGCTAGTATACTTTCTTTTTTATTGAAAGATTATTTTTTAAATAGGTGCTGACATTGTTAATAATTTGTGGTACAGTAAAGTTGTAGTGGTAAAGAGGACAAGCAAAGTTGTATAAAGACGCCTTTTACGTATCAAGAAATCGGTGCGACTTCAGGCCTAACAAAAGGCTTTCCCATATTGACCGTAAAAGGACTAGCCATTTTGACCTGTCACATGTGGGGACAGTCAAACGCTCACAGTCAACCGAAGAATAGGGCGTTTCTTGATACGAGATAGATCCAAAGTAGAGCGCTATGTTAAGTCACATTGCCAGACTTGAGCACGTTTGTTTAAACAAAAGAACGAGAGTGCACGCCCCAAAAACGTTCGTATTACACATTTCAATTTAAGATTTGTTCCGACCTGTTCACCCTCCACGAGACATCTGTTAATCTTTATTTATAAGCGCGCCTTAACGGTTTGTGGCAACAAGACAATATTAAGTGATCATGACAAGAGCCGTTGCGTGACATTAACATAAAAATATCACGTTTTAGTATAAATTTAGACTTGAATATACAGTTTCTCGAGCTGTGATTGGTCGAGCGACCGGTGATTGAGACGATAATCATCGCTGGAGCGGTGATTATGAGGTTTTCCAAAGTTTTCATCCAGATAGGAAGTAACTCTAAGACGTTTATCCTGAATTTCGACTTTTCTCTGATATTCAAATCTAAAATTATACTAAAACGATTATTCCCCTCAGGCTCAGTGGAGGTGGATTTTTCCAGTTGACGAAATGAGCCGGGGAAATGAGATGCAGAGATCTATATTTTTAAGTGCGCCCAAGGGTCTGACGCGAAAAGATAATTGTGACTAGAGCCGTTGCGTGACACAGACATAACGAATAGTATGTCAAAACTGAATATTCTTCAAGAATGACTAACGAAAGGCGCTCTAGACAATTTCAAAAAAAAAATTTGTTGAAGTTTCGCTTTTCGTTCACAGGTTTAAAGTCAACCTTAAAATCAACGACCAATAGGCTGAAATGGGAGCCGATTCTTACCAGATAACCCTAATTTCAGGGATAACCCAATTGATCATTGGTGTGCTTTGTTTTTTATTCGGAATCGCTGATATCGCCACAACCATAGCTGAACGTCGCATCACAGCTTCATTAATCTCCGCTATCCCCATTTGGGGTGGTATTTGGGTAGGTATTATCGTTCTTTATTTTCAAAAATGCTTTAGCAGCAGAGTGTAAATATATGCTATTCTTAGAAGGCGAAGTAACAAACTTCTTTGCACCTACATGCAGTCTACAGCAGGGAAGCCAAGTTCTACCGATATTCATGTACTTTCTGCGATATTATCTTTGAAATTTTGCAGTGAGTATCGAGAATGACGCTGAAAGATAAATTTCAGGATGTATTGTAAACATGGACGCACACTATTATTCTGAAGTTGCTCTTCACTTACCATTCTGACAAGACGTTTTAAAAATTATTACAGAAGGAAAATATGCAAATTTTTTCACTGAGTGGGAAAATGTCACGCGATATTAAATATATATTGTCAAACAATAAATTGCGTGGTACGAAAATAAACTGTACATTAGTTTTATAGGTCCAAAGTGTGAGTATTTGCAGTAATAACTATTTTAATAAGATCAAATTTTAAACATTTCTCTAGTATTTATTTTTGCCTATTGCTGGTTTTCACATGACGTCATCAAAACATCAAAATCTAAACTATAGATCGTATAAAGGCATTTCTCAAGTATGTTTTAGAAATCAATGTTATAAGTCACAAGAAAAAATCTTGACTCATTTCGATGTTTGGTTCCCGAGTTATGAAGGTTCCATCATCCAGCACGAACTGAGTATTAGTGCTGTATTACAGTGGCGCGCGATGTTGCACCGTGTGTCTGTAGCTTACAGCTATTTTCATAAACATGTGTTATGGGATAGACCGCTCTAGGTAGAGCTACTCGGGATCTTTATTCTACTTTCTCTTCTTCTATACTCTATCTCTACTCTTCTGACTAAAACTAATTACATGAGCTCTATTCATAATAACTTCATGACAGGTGTCATTCTACAATCAATATGATATCATCGCTGTGCCTTGATTGGCTAATGGAAATAGTAAATTCCTAAGTGTGTGTCTTATTAAGAATAATACGAGTGAAAATCATAGAACTAAACATAGCTTAAACCAAAGATATCATATGATTATATGGTAAATGTATAGAAAGGTCTACGAGGGATATTTATATCATAAGAATAGTGCTAAAATAACTAAGCAAAGGGGGAAAGAGTGTTTAGGGTGTAACCAGAGGTGTACATGCTAATGGGAGGAGCTAAGTGGTTTACTTGTAAATTCAAAGCATGCCATCATCTAAACTTGCGTGATGGTAGCCTTACTGAAATCTTATATCGATATTTTCAATAACTAATTGATCGTTCTTTATCTTGTTTTCATATGATAAGAAATAGTCATTAGAAAACTGATGTCTAGCTTAGTCTGTAAAAACATTAATTTTCTCTCTCATAACACATACGACCTCGGTGTTCTTGAATTGCACGCTGAAATTTGGTTTTTCGCTGCTGTCAATCAAACCTAATCAGTCGGTAACTTTCATATTTTTGACTGGCGGCAGCGAAAAAACCAAATTTCAGCGTGCAATTCAAGAGCACCGAGGTCGCATGTTTATGAAAATAGCTGTAATACACACCCGGATTTGTTCTGTCAGTCACTTAATTATTGTAGACTGACAAACTAAGCCGGAAAATTCGAGGTTTTTTCAGATGTGAAATTCAAACTTTCGTGTCTTAGTTTAAAGTTTTATTTGTTTGCTAATTGTGGGTTTTGTTTTTCAGATCTGTGTCACCGGTATCATTGGAATATGTGCTGTACGACGTGCAAGATTTGGAAGGTCGGGATGCATAGTAAGATAACATTCTTAACTTAGACTGCATATCATTATCACCACTACCACTGCCACTACCCACTGCCACTGCCACTGCCACTGCCACTACCACTGCCACTGCCACTACCCACCTACCATCACTAGAACCACCACTAACCATCACCTCTATTTATCCAACTATTACTACTATTACCACTTCCAACACCTCTAGCACAATCAATACTAC